TGTCTGTCCTGGCATATGTTATAGTTTTATAATCTACAGCCTAACTTTGCACTTAAACCACAAACACATACGTGTAGTACAAAATAATGATAAAAATAGAAATAATCAGTAATATTTAATTATTAAGATAAAGAATGAAAATAATACAAAAAATTCTATATTACATATGTAGAGAGATTGTCAATCAAATGGCATGTTCAACGCAATAGCAGCAATAAGAAACTCGCCGACAGTTTTTTTTTTTTTAAATTTCAAATTGCTTTTTAATTTCTACAGATATTTATAATCCTTTCAATGTATGTTCGTGGATTATTGATGGAATAATTTTAGTTACATGTCAAGTTTAATATTATGGTGTTTGTACTTTGTAGCAAGGATTTGCTAAATACTTATAATTTTCTATGATTGTACCGAAAAGTAGATACATGTTTTAAAGCAGAGCTACCGCTCAAGCTTTATTTCTGTCGTGTAGATCTAGAGGTCTTTGTGTATATATCATAGGTAAAAGTACCAATACCGATGATCACATCCCTTCAAAGTTATATTATTCTTGTTTATTACGCCCCTTGCAGTGGCAGATCCAGGAATTTCATAACGGGGGGGGGCAAAGTAGAAGGCAGGGGAGGGGTCGGGGGGCTGCAATGAAGCCCCCAGAGGGTCTATAACAAAGCCCTGGTGGGGATCCAGGGGCGAAGCCCCCAGAAGTTGACAAATTCTTACAAATAAGAGATGTTTTTTCCTTGATTTAAGGATAATGGACATATAAGTTCTACATACAAAAAATTCGAAAACGGAACGGAAAGGGGGGGGGGCGTGCGCCCGGCGCGCCGGTGTCGCATAATTTACGTTCCGGATACTTTGCGTTCCGGCCGGAACCTTAAAATCATAATATTGGTTCCGGATTTTACTGTAAGTTTGGTTCCGGCCATGGCTGCAATCTTCGAATCGCGGTATCTCTCAATTATTATCTGCCAGTTTTCATTCTACACTGAGACATAGAAGTATTTTTTTTCCTTGAGGCATGCCATTTTCATGTGGCGCAGTGTTCTTTTTGTAAGGCGTCATGCCCTTTTTGTACAGCCATTTTTAAAAATAAATGAATAAATAGCCCAAGTAAAGATCGCAAAATACGCTCTCTGATACATACACACCGAATAAAATTTGGTCGCATGAAAGGTCTTGTTTATCTAATGCATACAAATTAAGTCCCTTTGTTTATTTAGTGCATGTCAGGTGTGAATTTCTCGCTTGAATGCACGCAGACCCGGTATTTACCATGTTTACAGGGTAAAGGGGATAGAAGATAAACTAGACTGAGATTACAAAAGGCTAAAAAGAAGCACAATGTCAAAGATAAATTTGATCAGTAAATTTTGATTTTATAATCTGATAAATTAAAGAATTAAATACAAAATGTTATATGTATTTACAGAGATGCATTCTCTGTTTAAATGATATTACAAGTGTTGCAAATTCCACAATGTCGAGCCTCGAATACATGGCTTCCATTCCTCATAGATATTATCACTTGGCATGAAAATATGATTTATATTCCACTAGAAATAAACAAACATAAAAAATATAATTCACTGATGAAGATAGTTATATAGTTTTTGTGATAAATTAACAATGGATATTTCAGGAATATGTGGTTTATTCTGCAATGAAACAAACATGAAAAAATAACGATATGGTTTATTCCCTTAGAATAAACAAACACAAGTAATTAATGAAAATTATGTTGTTGTTGTTTTTTAAAGACCGTAGGAAGAAAAAAAAAAACAAGGTTGAAATATGAAAAGTAAAGACCAGCAATGTTGATTGTGAAAAATTGAATTAGCTCAAATATTTTAGTAAAATCAAGGTTTTAGCAAATTTTAAATGATTTTTTTTTTATGTTTTAAAGGCCTTGAAATGCACTTTTCTGTAACTTCGATGCATGCCCTACCCACCCAACCCTTAAGATATTTGGGAAAAACTTTTATTCCTTGGTGTTTTTTTATACATAAAACACAATAAGAAAATGACAATTTTTATGACACTTTAAAATTTTTTTTATCGTTTTATACATACCATTATGTTTAATGAATATCAAAATTTGTGGAGAAAACATTCAAATATATACATGTAGGCAGAAGGCAAGCTGCAATAATGTAACACCCCTCCATTTTTTAAATCTCAACCCCCTCCCCCAAATTTAAAAAAAGGGAGGTTATAACAGCTCCAAAAATTAAAAAAAAAGTGTTAGTTAATTATCTGACCCCCCCTCCCCCCCAATAATGAGGAGTTTAAATTACAGCATCTGCAAAAATGTAAAATTGTAAATTCATTTTTTTTTTATTGTCACAGGGTGAATAAATTATTATTCTAATAAATATTATATGTATGATTGAATATTTAATGACCTAATCACTAATCATCATTTCATTATCTTCATCATCATTTTCATCTATTAAGCATAGTGAATTACAGTCCTCTGGAATTTACTATGTGTTCATTCATAAAATATCTCATTCATATTCATGCGGTTGAATGCTCATTGGTGGATTTAGGAGTGTGAAATATTTATAATGGGAACCTATAAATAATTACACGTTTATCATTTTGTTCGCATACAGTAACAAGTTAAGTAGAAAAAATAATTTGTTCAACATCGAGGTGCCCGTGGCTCTCTGTGGCCACGTGTATGTAAACGAGGACTGGACTACAACACTTAAAGACACAAAGCGGCAGAGATGGGTGAAACTGTTTGCTATATTACAAAGACTTGAATTATAGTACATGTATATTTGAAGGAGTTTTTATTTATGTTAATGTTTATTTAATTCTATAAATAATAAATGGACATTCACAAGAGTGATGGTAAAAATAATATGTGCGTAGCATGCGTAGTAATTACAATTATTTACCCAAGCCCCCATTCAATTACAATTGCAGATGAATTAAAATACAACAACACGGGATAGAGCAATACTTTTTTTAAATGTATTGTTGCGTGAACAGACAAAAACAGCGATTAAAATTCAAAATGATTTTTATGCACCAGTGTTTGGAATTAAGATATAAAAGATCGGTAAAGTAATCTTACTGATTCTATATAATCAAAAACATAACTTTCCATTAATTAATAGCTCTTTGTACAAAATTGACATCATACACGATCACAAATACTAGCTTTGTTTATGGCCACAGGTGGCTAGTACACTGGTGACCTCGATCAAAGGCGTGGGATTCGCGCGTTGGGTTACATAACTAAACATCGAGCTGAACATGGAGACCGTAATATGCATACAGCTAATGATCGTGAATTATTCAATGCATACAGTTTAAAATCACTTACAAAGTTTGTTGTAATAATAAACGTAGAAAGATAGATTTAATATTCTCCGCTTTTGAACACTATTAATCTAATTTAAAAAAAGAAGAAAAGAAAGACTAGTTGTAATAAATAATTTAATAGTGAACCATAAACCACGTTTTAAACCTCATTAAAAAGAAAATTAACATTAAATACCGCAGGGTATATTATTGATAGCAAGTCTGTTTAAGTTATACACATGAAGAGGTCTGATTTCCTTGCCGAATGAAAAACGTTACCTGTTTACCTGGCCTGCTTTCAATACGTATTACGCAATACCCATGGTATACTCGAACAAAACAACATTTTCATTAGATCAAAAAGGTGTAAAAGAAGAATTTTGTTCCCAAGATCCAGATCGAAATATTTACCGTTTTTGAGTTATAAAGCAAAAACTTTTAAGGGCCCAAGATCCCTAATCATAGGGGCCAGCCCCTTTTAAATAGTATAATATGAAAGCCCTTGCAATTATGCACAACTTTTGTTCTACATGTCTTAACAAAATATTTCTAGTTTTCAAGATATAAAGGAAAATATGTCAAATTTTTTGCTGTTTTCCGCGTTCTAACTTTTGACCCCTCTCTAGCGCCATTTTAAATGCAAAAATCAAAAAACAAAAACCGATGTGCACAACTTCAATGCTTCCTCTTTTCAATTTCAAAGGGTTTTATGCTCCAATTATAACCATTTCTGAGCCTTTGTCTGGAAATCGGAGGCATGCAAAATTCAATCAAAGGGGAATAACTCGTGAACAGAAGGTAATTTCCGAATTGTATTATGGTTTTCTGACAGTGTTTTGTAAAGTCGAAAAGCTCTGAAAATTTGAACAAAATCTGTTTAAAAATGAGGAAGATATGAAGCGTCAAAGTTGGCGTCTAGGAAAAAAAAAAAAGAATAATAAGAATAATCTTAATCGTCACAATCAGTAGAAGGTCTTCCGTTGGAAACGGAAGACCTTAATAAGAATAATCTTAATCATTACAATCAGTAGAAGGTCTTCCGTTGGAAACGGAAGACCTTAATAATGTATGCTTAGGCTGTTTTGGAAAATGTATGATGTTCTTCAATTATTACCTTACATTATATGTAACAACGATTTGTATGTCACACGTTTGGTGTGTCGATGTTCTCCAATATAAGTTTTATATTCGAAAGAGTTATGATAGCTGTAAAATACATTCATTTGTAGAAAACAGTTTTCCTCAAATTTAACCTTAAGGACCCTCTCTACACTGCACTCAATTTTTAGGGTACTTTTGTGTAATTAGACTGACCTACCATTTGACATACAAATAGAATAAATTGTAATCTGAACTAAATCACATAATATGAAATAAATACAAGTATTCTAAACATTATATTAGACCAATATAGAGTATTTGAAAACTTTATTTGCATGTATTTTATCCATTTGAGTAAGTGAAGGCAATTTTTCTTTTCTATTGCTTCATTGTCTTTGAAGATTTTTCCTGAATAAAAAAGGCACGCTCTCTATATTAAAAATGAGTTAGTTAATTTCAAAATATCCTCATTTATGCTAAATAATTTTCTCAAAGTCCAAAAAACATTTTTCATCAGTGTATAGAGGGTCCTTAAAGCGTACGATTTGGATTTGGATAGTTTAAACTTAACTCTATTTCAGGAAGAGTTAACCAACAGACAACGTACGTACGGAGTCCTAAATTATGTTGGTATTGATAAGTATCTTCCTCCAATGATCCGTCCAAGACAATGTACAAATTTTATGCCGTGTGTTGTACTTAATCAAGTTTATGGGTAAGATGTTTTTCTTGCTCCTATTATTTATTCTTGCAAAGAAACAACAGATTATCATAATTATGGTTCAGACAAAAAATACCAGTCAAATGATGGTTTACGAAGTCGATATGATATTATATCTGTACATGAACAATATATGTACTTATTCTAGAATTTTATGAAGTTTTTTTAAAGAGGACCTTCCATTACAACTGATTAGAACGATACATACTGTATACAGGATAGTTTTTCCCCTTTTGCCCTCGGCAAAATATATGATTTTGAAATTGGGCGAAATCAAAGAAAACTGAGTTTTTCTTTTCATCATAAGTCTGTCTGGGTGAATTTAAAACAATACAAAAAACGTTTACAGGTGTAAAAAGGTGAAACTATCACGGGGCGAAAATAACCTGTATATAGAAATCGATGATCTGTATCTATTTTTTTTTCTCTAAGAGTTTACCCAGTAAACCAACACACAATAAGTGTACCGGTTACAAGTCTTAAGCCAACTCCTTTGGTCCTTAAGAAAAATCCAGTCCCGCGTGTTGGGCCAGGAGTTACCAAACAGTTGTTTTTCCTTAATTTCTTTCTCTTAGGTAAGTTTATATAAGGAATGAATTTAAAATAGCTACCCAATTTATACGGCATAAAATGGACTGAGGCAGTTTTCGCTTTTATAAACAGCAAAGCTTTCTGCAATGTCTGTAGATATTTACAAGCTTAAAACTTGATTGATATTTCAAATCCTTATGTTTTGTAAAAGTGATAATTTCCTTGAGTATTAATTTGTGTTGCACCCCTCTTGCTTGTAAAAGGTTTGTACTCTGTTTCAGAGGGAAGACCAGTTATTAATAACATTAAATTTCGCATGCCAACTTCCGCACTACAGGTAAAACTACCAAAATGCAAAATATCCACACATCTTTTATAACAGTTTCAAATAATCACAGTTATATTTGATAGTCATAATTTTAATGGGTAACGCCATTATTCTTCATTTCAGACCTACCCAGGTCCAGAAGCTATTGTTCCTTGTGGACCTGACACTTGTAATGCAAAGGGTTGTAGATGCACACATATGCTGAAACTCGGATTAGGAAATATAATCGATTTCGTCCTTTTCTCTTTTAGTAAGAAAATTTAGAATGTTGAAAAAAAAATTATACCCAAGGCCTGTAAACGAAGATTCGGGAATATTAATTTTGGTCTGTCCGTCTGTTTGTCTCTTTGTCCTCAAAACTTTAACTTGACCAAAACTTTTGAATGGTTGATACTATGGCATTCATATTAAGCATGTTTATTCCTCATGGCATGACCTTTCTTCCGGTACCAGCATTTTTGATTTTTTTTTATCTTGACTTTGAAGTTTGACCTACTTTTGAAAAACTTTAACCTTGGCCATAAGTTTTGAACTGTTGATGGTAGGGCTTAATATTTCACTGGTGTATTCCATGTGACATGGCCTTTCTTTGGGTACCAAAATTGTTTACCCTTTGACCTTGACTTTGGAGTTTGCGAAGCGTTTGCAAAAAATTACCAAACTCTAACCTTGGCTAAAATTTTTCAACGGTTAGAGTTAGGGCCTTTTTATTTGACAGGTACATTTCATGTGTCCAGACCTTTTTTCGGTACCAACATTTTTTTCCTTTCTACCTTTACATTTAAGTTTGAAATGCTTGAACTTGTGAAAAAAAAATTACTTTTGAACAGTGGGTGCCAGGACTTTCATATATCACAAGTGTTTTTCTTTTGACAAGACCTATCTTTGTGTTCCAACATGTTTGACGTCATGACCGTGTCCTCGGAGTTTGACGTACATTTGAAAAAAAAATCTTTACTTTGCCTATAATTTATGAATAGTTGCTGTTAGGGCTTTCATATTTCAATTATGCATTTCCTGTAACAAGGCCTTTCCTTTGGTACCGTTATTTTTTTTTTTATAAATCATGACATTGACCTTGGAGTATGACCTACTTTTTGAAAACTTCTAAGCCATATATTTTCTGAATGGTTGGCACTAGCGCTATTAAATTTCACATGTGTATCCCTTGTGACAAGACCTTTCTGGCTATCAGAATTTTGAACTCTTGACCTTGGAGTTTGACTTACATTTGAAACGCTTTAACCTTGGCCATGTGCTGCCATACGGGAACATCATTGTTTCACAAACACATCTTGTTTTTAATTCAAGGAATTCTTATACTTGATAACCCGTAGAATATATTTCTCTGTTCATTTTTAGGTGATGTTAAAGCTGCCCATCCAGTTCATTTACATGGGCATCATTTTCATGTCCTTAAAATCGGATACCCGCCATATGATTTCATTACCGGAAATACCACTGCACGAAATCCGGATATAACATGTTTAGACGAGCCTTGTACAAGAGCAACATGGACGAATCCCACGTGGAATACTGGAAATATCCCTGGCTTAAACTTAGTGAATCCCATTGTTAGAGATACAGTCGTTGTTCCTGCAAACGGTTACGTCATAATAAGACTAAAAGCTGATAATCCTGGTAAATATACACGTTCGTTCGCAATTTTTGAAACATACATGAGACCCTTACGCTAACCTATATGATTCTTTGTACGCATATATTTATTTTAGGTTTTTGGTTTATGCACTGCCATTACGGACATCATCAAACGCAAGGCATGAACTTGGTCATGCAGGAGGGTGATATTAAGGACATGCCCCAAATTCCCCCAAATTTTCCTACATGTAATAACTTCCAGGTTCACCCGGAACAATGGTTGATGTCCCTGAAGAGAGAAGAGGCGAAACGAAAGTCATTGGGTTGCGACTATTAAAATCGGAAAATAATAAAAGTCCATGTATGTGTGAAAATAAAAAAAAATGCTTTTTTACAATATACATTGTAAAAGATAATTTTCCTAGTAATGTTTGGGTGAATTTGAATTTTCATGCATTTTTAGCTGTAATTGGCTTGGAGGTGGTCCCATGTAATAAAAATACAATTATGTAATAATTATATTACTGTTTGTTTATGAGAGATAAAATTCTCCGTTAAAATTACATTGAAATGAGTTCTTTTATTACAATAAATGTAAAACAGGTGTCTTATAATACAGGATATTTGGTTTTCCTTAAAATACTCAAATAAGAAAAGAAAATACCAAAGAAAAAATAACAATCTCAGAAATTATATTAATTGTTGTGCTAGCAAGTTATAAAATATTGAAATTCAGAGTTTAATAGTTATCGTTATAATTGCAGCATTCAGTCGGAAAAATCAAAACGGAAAAATCGAAACAAATCGACCACCATTACTAAGTTTCATAGTTTACCGTTTACCACTCCTTAAAACTTCGTTTTGATGTCATTCCTTTGTTCTTGTAGGCTTAAAACTTACCTGTGGCAGTCCGACATTAGTGAGTGGTCTTATATTAATCGTAATATTAGACTGTCTCAGTACTGATATCCTTCAAAATTGGACTGTTACTGAACAAAAGAAATAAAAACTGTGATTTAGCAAACGGGAAATTAGTTAAATTTCATCTATCAATGATAATTTTGATACAGAATATTGATCATACAGAACTGGAAAATTAAAAAAAATTAAACCTTTAAATAACAGGAAGGAAGAAAATGCGACGGAGCAGATCATGCAAAAATGGGTCTTATAAAACGTTTCAACCTCTTGGCATGCAAAAAAAAAAAAAAAAAAAAAAAAAAAAAAGTTTCTCTGGTTTTAGAAAAAGAGAAGGATCTCTGGGGCCGCCAGAGAAACACAAAAACTTTAGTACAATCATAAAATTATTTATTTATTTAAAATTATTTAGTGCTGACCATAGTTACAACTTCCCTTGTTTGGCTTGAATAGTTAAGATTGGAGGTACTTAACACTATAAGCACAGTTGGCTGGTAAATCTCTCATTTTTACCATAGAAGAGTTTTCCTGCTGGTTATTTTACAAACCCCTTTCTACCTATTATAAAAGAATAACAACAGCATACAAGCCAAAAAATAAAACACAAACTTTAGATACGTATAAAGAACAACATTCTAGCAATATGATTTCATAATTCTATTTCTTTATAGAAAGATGAATGCCTTTGCAAAATGAAGGTAGTATGTGATAATCAAATACTTAACTTGACAAAGTAAAAAGATTAAAAAGTATATTTGAAAGAAATTTACAGAATTCCAAAGCTTCCATCAAAATAATTAAGTCCTGGATTGCTGATTAAGTTTGTTTTTTCTGCTCTGGGTGTCAAAAACCAAGGTACATGCGGACGCTAAACATAGAAAAAAACTGGAATGGCCGAATATACCTTCAGCATCTGCTTTATTCTCTATTGTTGTTCAGTTCAAATCAAAGTTCACATTCGCATTTTCCTTTCCATTTCAAAAACATCATTCACTAGATTGTCTGTATCATAATCCGATGCATTGCGTTAAGCTTTGTGTATGTTTTAAGGCAGGAAAAATTATGTTCCCACTCTCAACCTTATGAAAGTACTTCAAATACCTACAAAAGTTAACTGATTCCCTAAATACCAAGTACGTTTCTGTCAAGCTTGCATTCTTGGAAGAATTGCTTCAGTGGTCATTAACTCATAAATTCAGAAGGCCAAAAAAATGTCCTAAGTGAACCTTGTTCTTTGTTTGGAAGCATCCTCCGGTAGCGTAGTTTCAAATTTGTTCAAGTCATGATCCCCCAGGGAAGGGTGGGGACTAAAATACATGTAAGAGATCAACGTTTTACATAAGGATACATAGGAAAAGATCTTTAAAAAATCTTTTTTCAATAACAAATAATGGCCCCTGGGGGTAGGATGGGGCCACAACAGGCAATCAAATTTTTAGAAAAGATTATTATAAGGGAAAAATCTGCTGATGAAAAACACCAGGAGCAATGTGACTAAGGAGAGCGTTTTAGCCCATCGGGCTCTTGTTTTTTCTAGTCAACACACGTAGTGTGTAGAGATAGGAGGAACCGTTTCATCGACAACCAAGATGCAGCATGATATTGTCAGTGCATTCTGAGTTCTACAGAATTTTATTTGATATTTTTCTTTAAATTCCTTTTTTATCTGCTAAGTTTTTATATTTAATTTCAGTTTCTCCATGAATTAGCCTAAGAAGGAAAAATACACTTGCATGCCAAACACATATACATGTACATTATTCTGCCGAAACATTCATAAGTAAATGACATTGAATAATTTGATAAATTCTATATTTTTATTTTTCCATTGTACAATAAACATCAGGATTCAACACATTGAGCCAGGATTTGTTTTTCCTCACCTTCTTCCCGTTACTCACTTCTCTAACATATTTACATAAATCACACTGGGCATCAAAAACAGTTTTTTGAAATGGTTGAGGAATAAACTTGTCCTTTTCTTTTAAATACCGTATGTATTGTGTTTCATTAGAACCTATTCTGATTAATTCTTTGGCTAAAAGACTTACAGAAGCGAAATCTTGACTATTAATGTAAGTTCCCTTTGGAAGATAATGAGCAGCGCCTTTGGGTCCGTTTATGACAGGAACTAGGTTGGCACGGTTCAAATACAGCGCAAACAATTTTTCTGTTGTGTAACCTTTACATAATGAATTCTCGAAAGAAAAAAAGAATTTGTAATCTCTTTCGAACATGGACTGGCAACCATTCAAATTATCATATTGTTTGCCACATTTTTTAGTACCACATCTGCCGTAAGTATCCACTTTTAAGTATTTACTAAGCTCTTCAACCAATTTTTCTCTTTTGGAAGGAGTTGGACAGTGGCCCGAAACCCACACCGCGTCTTTGGTTTTCTTGCTGAATATCCCAGTGTAGTTTTTGATGACAGGTTCTTTTACTTTTTGCAGTTTACCATACAATGGCACATAAATATCGGATTCCTCCATATACGACATAGACAAATCAAAAAGGCCCATCCATTCTTTGTTTGGCTGCACCGTGTGATAAGGACTTTCTGCCGTGTTAAACACCCAAATTTGTCCTTTTTCTTTCTTGATCACTCTTTTAGGAATCCGTTTATGACTGAATATCACTATGTCAGCATTAGAAATATTGGTTTCCAAGATACAATTTGGCACGGAACATTTTGAACTGTCATAATACCGTAAATGATCTACAAAGTGTCCCTCTGCTTGGAACCAAAATGTGCGATATATCCTTGAATATGAATTATTGGATACCGATACGGTCATGTTAATATCTGTGTCGTTGAATAATAAGTCAAGATTTACTACTTTAGACAAGTCGGTCCAAAGAGGGTGCGCTGTATTGGGAATCAGGTACAGGATTATAACATAGCAAGTTATCGTTATACAACACAACGATATGAGAGTCCCATGCCTTTCGAACATCTCTTGTACTGAAATAAATTATGAAAATATATTCAAACACAGTGAGAGGGGGAAAAGCAATCTATCTAACACACGTTCAGAGAAATCTTTTAAAAGAATATAATAAAAGCATAAAAGATTCTTACTTTAATCTAGAGCCATCTTGATTTTTAGTTTGCATTTTCATTCGGAAATTTTTTTTTTTATTTCTACACAGCCATTTCTTATTCAGAGCAAGTGTTTTAAAGATGATTTATTTTAATCGTCAACCTTCTTAAATGACCGATCAAGCGAAAATAGAGATGAGTCTGATTTCTGAAGTACATTTTATATGTAGTTACATGTATGTCTAAATGAGAAAACTTTTTTTTCTAATATCGTTCCCATTTGACGAACTTCCTAAATGTACAAAGCATTGTTTGTTTTAGTTACTTTCTACCGGAATTAAATTTCTTTGGCAAAATTTGCATTCGATGTCAACGGTTATTTATGCCTAATTATGATAATTGTAAAATACACGTCGTTTTAATTTGATATAATTAGTACATCCACAATTCAAATATCAAACGCTACGCTAAAACAATTTAAGAAAAAGTTATGGTCCACGTTCAATCGTATTTGGAAAAAAAAAAAGAGCGTATCTTAACAAGGGGCAGAGAAAATTTCTTCCTGTATCGAAGGAGAGACTTTATCAAGTGAACACTATTAAGTCTTCCCATTCTAAGACATCCATATTAAGACATTTTAGTTTTAATTCCAAAGTAAAAAGAGTGTTTCTTTATAAATTTTTTACAACTACAAGTGAAAAACTATGTGAAGTTTTTTTTTTTTTTTTTTTTTTTTTTTTTTTTTTTTTTTTTTTTAAAGATATTTATCAATTTTTCTATTGACTGTGATATAATTATATAGTTATCAAGTACTTACCTTTGAAAAAAGCTCCGATAATAATAGCTTACTAACATTCATTTATACATGTAGAGTCTGAAAATCCTTCTTTAATTTCTTCAATTTCATAAAATCTTCTAAATCTTCTAAATCGAAAATACACGTTTATGGACCGATACAAGGAAGTATGTGCTTTTTTCATGTAATACCCCGCCTCGGGGCTAACACAAGTGCTAAAAATATCATGGTATATCTACCCTGGCTCTGTTATACATGTAGGTACATGTGTAATTTTATTTATATATATATATATATATATATATATATATATATATATATATATATATATATATATATATATATATATATATATATATATATATATATATAAAACTTGGATACTACTTATAAAGAAGAAAACATTGAGGTTAACATCAACTGGATTCCGAGCAAAAATCCTTTGTATTTAACTATTTGTCTCATATAGGCTAAAATAAATAATTCAATATATGAGGCAGATCAATTATTGTGTGAATCTCTCCGACGATAAATATATTGACAGACCGGAGAGCTACAGTTCCACCCATTAAAAATGTGTATATCGCGCGCAAAAAAGTGCATTTTTTTTTTCTCCATTTATTTCTCCGTGTCAACTCAAAATATTACAAACGTTGTGTTTCTAACATATTCCTTTACTCTTTTTAGATTAAAACATTTGAAAAATCTCGATAGATTATACTGCTACTTTGGTTTGCAAGATAATTTGGTCCAGCGCTTTTTTTAATCCATCTGTTTTGAATTTGAGGTAAGATTTTCTTAGAAATTAATCCAGAACCGAGCGCAGCTTTTGTGCGCAATATATATACTTGTCAGTTTTTTCTACATGGGTTGCGCTGTAGCTCTCTGGTCGTCCATCCTAATCTTTACATAGCGAGATCTGCAGCAGATACGGAAGTAGATAAGCTTCTGGTTAACCATCCGGACTTTCAATTCCTATAAATATATGTGTGTGTGTGTTTTTTTTTTTTTTTTTAAAGACTGTCTTATGTCGTTATTAGTTCCTTAGGTGTATTAATAAAGGAAAGGCTGCCATATTTTACTGATCATATGTCAGACACTTTAATCCAACCATATAATGAGATATATTACTGAAAGCATACAAATCTGGTCACTACATGTACAAGGTGACTTTACAAGAACTTCTAATCTACCATCGCTGTCATAGGATTAAGCCGATAGGAAGAGTGTGTTTACTACATGTACTTATTTTTACACTACACTAACTGAGAATGCTTTCATATTTGTTTGACTAATTATAGCTTAAGAACATTTTTTCATATGTTTGATAATCTATTGTGGCCCATCCTATCCTCAGGGTACATGATTTGAACAAATTCAAATATACCTTACCCGAGGATGCTTCTGAATTAATATGACTAATCATGAATTTGCTATTTTTGGTAAGAAGATTTATACGATTTATCCTATGTATTCTCATGTTAAACTATCACCATTTATGGCCCCTCCCTACCCATGGAGGTCATTATTTGAACAATCTTGAATGTAAACTACTTGAGGATGCTTCCATATAAATATGTCTAATCATTGCTTTACTGTTCTTGAGAAGAAGATTTTTAAAGGTTTTTCCTTTATATTTCTATGCAATACTTTGATAGCCCATTGTGGCCCCACCCTACCCCCGGGGGTCATGATTTGAACAAACTTGAATCTACACTACCTGAAGATGCTTCTAAATAAATATCACTAATAAAGGCTTTGCTGTTCTTGAGAAGATTTTTAAAGATTTTTCCTATATATTTCTATGTAAAACTTTGATCAGATCACCCAATATGGCCCAACCCTAACCCGGGGGTTATATTTGAACAAATTTGAATCTATGCTATCTGAGGATGCTTCCATATAAATATTACCAATATGGCTGTACTGTTCTTGAGAAGAAAATTTTAAAGGATATTTCCTAAATATTTCTATGTAATACTTTGATCGCCAATTGTGGCCCCACCCTAACCCCGGGGGTCATGATTTGAACAAACTTGAATCTACACTATCTAAGGATGCTTCTACATAAATATCACTACTAATGGCTTTGCTGTTCTTGAGAAGAAGATTTCTATAGATTTTTCTATGTATTTCTATGTAAAACTTTGATCACGCAATATGGCCCCACCCTACCCCCAGGGGTCATGATTTGAACAAATTTGAATCTTCATTATGTCAGAAAACTTTCATATAAGTTTCATCTTTTCTAGCCCAGTGGTTCTTGAGAAGAAGATTTTTAAATACAGCCTCCAATTTCTCACTATTTCTTAGTTATCTCCCCTTGGAAGAGGGTGTGGCTCTTCATTTGAACAAACTTGAATTCCCTTTACCTAAGGATACTCTGTGCCTAGTTTGGCTGAAATCGGCCCAGTGGGTCTTGAGAAGAAGATGAAAATGTGAAAAGTTTACGACGACGACAGACACGGGCAAATTTTGATCAGAAAAGCTCACTTGAGCCTTAGGCTCAGGTGAGCTAATAAAGAGGAAGTATAAGTTCGTAAATTCGAAATCTCGATCCCGATACAAATTTGACATCGGAAAGAACAAATTCCATATTTTTTCAATTTTTTTTTTTTTTTTTTAAAAATTCAAAAAATCGAGCGGCCGGTTTGCAAACCTAAAAATAAAAAAAAAAATGCTGGCCTAACATGAGATTGTGTACAAAGGCGCTATCACTTTACACTCAGTGGTGACATACTCCTGTCGATTCCCATTATTATAACGAGCAGAAGAATATCTACATTATTTTCGATGGAATATATTTATGCATATTCAATCTAATAATCAGGCTACACGACGTAGGAGACGGGTTTTTTTCGATATTCCTGGCCCTGTACATCAGGGACATGCGAGCTCAGTAACAATGCACAATTTGATTAATAACAAAGCAAACTGTAATAACAGTGTAAAATTTAATAATAAAGCAAACTGTGATAATTGGATTGTAACATTTTGTGCTATTACATTTTGCTTCGAGATCTACCTTCTTATCAATTCTGAGATATTCTATCTAACCATGACCTAAACATCAGGAAAAACTAAAACCAAAAAAATGTAGTTGCGGATCCCGCGAGAAGGTAGAGGCAGAAGGTTCAGTCCTTCCGTGATGTTCAGATCGAGTGCTTAAAGTAACAAAAGAATGACCTTGAAAACCCCCTCCTACTCAACCTGAAGACACAAAACGCTCCTATGTTATGAATATGAGTTACCATATTCTACAAACCGAATTTACATATCTGAACAAGGGCTGTAAACGCGAGGATGGGGGGGGGGGCTGCCCTCCCCCGACTTTTTTCTGTATATAGTCTTTTGCTGTAGGTTTAATGTGAAAAATTTCATTTAGATGCCCTCGCCCACTTTTGTAGCTGTAATGTCGAACACTGGCAAATTCCAGCATTTGTTAAAAAAATATACTTAACAGTAGGAGGAAGGTTCATCCCCTCCCCCTTACGATATAGGATTTTCGAGCTTAGACAGCTTAGTTTTTTGTTTTTTTGCTTGTCCCCCCCTTTTTTCTTAAACCTTTACTACTCGCCTATGAACAGTAATAATGATAACTAGAGCAAAGCTCTTTGCAAAGCCGGAGCTGCGGACTGGAAGTACTGACTTTGGGTCAAGGTCATGACACATTCTAAGGTAAAAAAAACAATCTTGAATGAGGTGTCAACTTCCAATATTTCACCAGTAGAAAGACGGTGAACAAATTTACAGTCCTTGTCCAAATGACCTTGCATTAAGACCATATCATTCTATGTTATGAGCAATCCCAATCTGTGGGTTTCTGACTGGACAAGTTCTTCCATTTTCTTTCAGACCTTACATCAAGTCAAAATATCTTATTCTCCATAGTTGTAATTTATTAAGTTCAACTCAATTATTTAAAGATTCATTGTAAATGTTTCATTTCCAGTTTGGAT